ATCCCTTGAGGGAACAAAGTAACAAAGAATGATGTGGCACAAACCACAAAACCTCTCTGAACTGTATGTGCAATTAAAAATTCTAACAGGTGAAAAGTGTCCCCACTTGGTTTTGATCTAACAGAAAGTGAAATGCCAAGTTTATTGTAACAATGTTTCCATGTGCGCAAGGCGGAGAGGTGGATCCAAGTGGCCCTAAACCTCCGTGTGATGGGGATTGGGCCCAGCCCCTAAAGCCCAGAGGGGGAACAGAACATTCACAGCTTGGTTTGGGGTGTCCCTGTGCAGACTAAGCCCCTGGTCAGAGCCCTGAGCCAAGGAAAGGCAGGGAGGAGGTGTTCACTGATGGCCCACCTGCCCTGCTCGTCACCCAGGGTTCCCAGGATGAGCCAGCCTGTCCAGGGCAAACGGGAAAGGAAAAATGGGATTTCAAGTGCAGCCAGATGTGAAGAATACCCACACTCCTGTTGGGTTCTGGGGAGCCTTTGCTCAGCAGCAGCAGACACCCACACCACACACGTGAGGGTGAGAACACTCCCGACTTTTGCATGCAGACAACAGCTCTGGTTTGGGCAGGGGCTCCCAGAGTCCTGAGACTGCTCAGGCATACCTTGGGGCTGCCCTGTGTGACATTCCCAATGGAATTCTCCACAGCACCGGCTGATTTAAGGGCTCAGACTGCTGTTTTAGTAACAGGAGATTCTAAACACCAAGAAGCTGCTTCCCATCCGACCTCCAAAGCACATGGGCAAAGTCTTCACATTCCCCCTGAGCAGCTCCAGAAACACCATCAGGCACAGCCGCTGTTTGTCACCTCTGTGCCACCTGTTCCCTACAAGGGGCTACTGGAATACTGCTGGATGAGCCGCTGGTGGCAGGGGTTGCAGACACGCTCAGGATTGATGCTGGACGGAAGGGGCAGCTTGTGTACCGAGCAGGCTTCACAAAAGGTGCCCCCACAGTTCTTGCAGATGTTCTGGAATGCAGGAAAAGGACAGAGCAAGAGTCAAGGAGAGCTCCAGGTCTTGGCCTATCAACTCAGGGAAGAGCAAACACTGAGCTAAAGAAGGGAAGAAGCTGCTACAGGGGAGGAAAACCAAAACCACTGAACAGGGAACCATCACCCAATCAGCATTTGACAAAATTCTGTTAAGGGCAGAGGGGCCTGCAAGGGCTCCTTTCTTAGGACACCTCACCAGCAGGAATCTGATTCCATAACCAAAAGCAGAGGGAACTCACAGTCACTGGGTGTGGGAGATGGCAGGTCAAGCCCAGGACTTGCCTTTCTTTGGCTCCGGCTGCCCTCCTCCTGGCAGAGCTGGCAGATCTCGGCATGTCCAGGCCCCGACAGCTGCTCCTACAGCCCAAGCCAAAAGCAAGAGATTCTGCTTTATACAGCTCCTGTGGCAGAGCTCGGCAGCAGCAAGGGGGGAGCTAAACATTGGGAACAAGCTGGCAGCAGTAGAAATTCCCAGTGGACAAGACAGCACAAGGCATCCCAGTGGCTCTCTGGGGGTCTGGCTGTGCTTTGCCAGGCGCATGGAGGAGGAGAGGATTTTGGTCCAGCAGATTTACAGAAAAAGAGCAAAACCACCAAAAAGGAGAATCACTCACCTGCTCTTCCTGTGTGCCACTGGGTGACCTACAAGGGAACAACAGTATCACGTGGAGCAGGCCTTCCCTCACCAGAGCCTTTAAATAAAACAGTTATGCTCTCAGGGAATTCACTCATCCCGTTTTTAAAACCCTCCCCAGATTTTTGAGTAGCAAAAATTGAACCTGGTTCAATGGCAAAAGCAGAAGAAGAAATTGCAAAATGCATTCAGGAGAGCAGGAAGACAGGGATCATGAACACAGGAAAGATTGTTGAGGTGCTACAGCACAACAGTTTGGCTTTAAACACAGGCCTGCAGGTTTGATCCTTACCCCTGCTGTGAAATGCAGTAATAAAGCACCACAAGGCCTGTAAACTATCAACCTGACCCTCACTTGCTTAAACACTCCAGGTAAAACAGGGGTAAAAACAATCTCAGGCCTGGAAGGTTTTTAATATCTGGCAAAGCAGATTTGAACTGCTCTATGCTATTTTAAGAGGATATTTTCCTGATTAACTCATTGATTAACTCACTGATTAACTCAATGGAGAGTGCCTCGAGGGCACAGCAGAGCCCTGACAGAGCACTTCCAATGGGCTGTTCCATCCCGAGCCAATGCCTCAGCACTGAGCTGTGGCCAGGGGCTTGGAGAACACCTTTTATCTCCTAAAACCAAATATTCAAATCCTGCAGCAAGAATCCTCTGTAATAATTCAGCTTGAAAACAAGTGACCTGAACCACAATTTTACAAAGCCACCTTCTTAAAATCACACTTGAAGTTCTTTCTCCAACAGCTTCTCTTTAGGAGGCCCAAATACCCTTCTCCTTTCCCTCACCAAAGATACTTTGGACATTAGTTCCAAAGGTCTTGCATTTAGCTTACCAAGGATTCTTGAGTTAGAAAAATTAGTAAACAGCAGGTTTAGATGGAAAAGAATTCAAAGGTAAATGGGAGAGACACAAAGCTTTTCCCATCTGAAAGCACTGATGGCAAACAACAGAACCTGCTCCTTCCCTTTTGAGAGCTATGGAAAAGCAGCAGAGAACTCAACCAAGGGCATGAGGTTGGAAATCCTTCTTAAAAAGGGAAGTTGGACTATTCCCAACTCCCTGTTGGCACAGAAATTGGAGAGGGGGAAGCAGGACTTGGGAAAGGAGAGGCAGAGATGAGATTTGTTTCCTTCCTTACCTGTGTGGCAGGACACTGTTCTCTCTCAGCGGCTGCTTCAGTTTAGCATTTTCTTCCTGGACTTTGAGCTTCCCATCCTGCCAAAAGGAAACACTCACCCATCAGCTGCACTAGAGGAGAACTCCAGCTCCACTCCTGTCACACTGCAAGGGGAGAACTGGCACTGCTATTTTGGGATACTGCTCTGCCCCTCCTTGGCACAGAGGGGTATCTGGGTCCCAGTTTCCCCTGGGAGCAGCTCTCAGGGCTCTCTCTCTCTGTGCCTCTCAGAGGTGGGCAGGCGTCCCATGACCTCCTGTTGCCAGGAGCCACAGCCACCAGTTCTTATTTGCACAGCAGAGGCTGAGAACAAACATGGGCTTAAGAAGTTTTGTAAAAGCTGACCAGAGACAAACTTTCCCATCCAGCAAAGAAAAGAATCCTCTTCTTCTCCCCAGCTGGGTCACAGCTGAGCCATGAGCCCTAGAGCACTTCACTGAGATTGTGTAATACTGGTCAAAAAACACAAAATGGTCTGCACCATTCAAGCAGACCAGAGAGAAGCAAGGAACTGCAGAAGCCATCTCTGTTACTGCACAATTCTCACTGCAATTCAAACTGCCTGTCCAGAGTGTATAAAAATCTTCCCAAAGTTGCTCTGGTTGTGGCACATGAACAACAACCATTTACTGCCTGAGAAAGCTCAGTAAAAGCAAACAAGCCCAGGGAAAGTGTACCTCAAACCCGAGCCAAAACCCAAGTCACATTACCTGTCTGAGCCAATTCTTTGGGCCTTTTTTGCTTTCTTGGCTGCGCTGGTGACTCTGAGACCATCTGTCTCTTTCCCGCCTTAGCTCCAGTTCTAGGTGGCTCCTGGAATGCCAGGTGGAATTGTGAATAAAGGACAGTCTGGGGACACTTGGCATTGACAACTGATGAGCTGTTTGACCCTTTGTTCACACTCCTAACTCAAGAGCTAAAACTGCCGCTTGGAACCCAAGGCTGCCTCGCAATGTGTTTAGCCATAATGTGTCAGGATGAAAAAACCTCCAAGTCCTTCATCTAATTCTGGCACCATTCAGCATCCAACTGATGCAAAACCAGACCCATTTGCCCTTGTCCTCCTGAGCTCACCCACGCACACTCAGGACCTCACACCAATTGCTGACCAAAGCCACTTTGTGCTTGGCAGAGCGGCTTTTGGAAAAAAGAAATAAAAAGCTGGGCCAGGAGGGAAGAAGGGACAAAAACCTCCATGCATCCAGCAATGCTCCCACAGAGTTCATCCCAGTGACCTTGCAACAAGCCACAGATGGGTCAAGGCTGAAGGAATGCTCTTCTCTTTTAAGGAAAGAGATTTGTCTGTGTCCCTGTCATTGCTCAAGTGATGAGGCTGCAGGGAAGAGGTGATGGCTTTTGACAAGGTCTCTGAGTTCCAGCAAAACTAAGAGCAGTTCCAACAGGGAAAAAAAATCTGTGTTGAAGTACTGTGTGTCAGATAAGACAACCAAAATCACTGTCCTTGCTCCAGCACCTTCACTGTTTGCTCCAGGCAGAGACTTGGCTGCTCAATCCCTGCCCAGGAGCAGCAAATTGTTAATGTTAGCTTTGATTTCCCAAATATCACAGAATCACAGAAGGTTTGAGTTGCCAAGCACCTTACAGACTATCTTGTTCCACCCTGTGCCATGGGCAGGGACACCTTCCACTGCATCAGATTGCTCCCAAGCCCTGTCCAACCTGGCCTTGACCACTTCCAGAGATGTTACCAAGGACTTCCCTCCCTGGAGTTACACCTCGTGCCATCTAACACACAACTTGCCTCACTCCCTTCTCCATCCCCTGCTGCCCTCTGCCACCATCCCCCCTACTCTCCCCTGGCCACAGCACTACCAGCCCAGAAAAGAGCTTGGAAAAGGGTCTCTTCACCGCTGCCTGGAGAGCTCTTCCACTTCCAGCTGGAGGCTGTTGATTTTGTCCCCAAACTCCTGCTTGAAGAGCCGGTTGTCCTGCAGGGCCTGCTGCCGCTCCTTCTCTGCCTGTCGCAATCTGGATTTGAGCCACATGAACTTGTGATAAAAAACAAAAGCCATGGTGGGGAGGAAGACTGAGTTTAACCAACAAATAAAAAACCCAGTGAAAAGGTAAAGCCAAAAAAAGAGAATGGTAAAAACAATGGAAAGGAGGAAAAAATGTTCAAAGCAAAGCAAAATGTAGGTGAACCAGGCAGAAGCTCTCATTTTCAATAGTTTTTATTCTATCACTACAGTTTACAGCCATTAGATGAGAAACAGAAAACATCACTTTTATCCAGATTCGAAGCAAACCTCAAGTACACAGAATTTTAAGTCCAATTGGAGTTTAATGTACGTTACATTTTGGCTTTGCACAGGTAACTGGAACTTGGAACATAGGTAGTAGCTACTCTATTGAGAATTAGTGCATATTCCTGGTCTCTCCCATGGATGGACACTTGGGCTCAAGCCCCAAGCATCAGTACACCACCCCATTGCCACTTGGGGCCTGACATCAGAAGCAGCCAGATCCTTAAATCTGTCTGATTGCAGCACAGATCTCACCATCCAACCCCCTGTTCCTACAGCAGAACTGTGCCAAGGGGCAGGGGCTTCCCACCCTAACCAGCTGTTCACACTCCTTGATCAAAGCTTCCACCTTTCCCTTAGGATTACTTGTTCTGCAGGGAGTTAGGATGAGTTTCTAGTAGCAGGTTACTGAGGGGTGAGTTTATAGGTTCAAGCATGCAGCTTGGGCATAGCAGGAAAGTTCCCAGCAGGGCTGTGCTGGGAGCCTGGAGAACAAAGCCCACAGTGGTCCATGCTCACCTTCATGGGGTCCAGGCTGAGCCCCCTGGAATTTTGAAACATGAGGTGTTCCCTCCTGGGCTTGTCACATTTGCCAGCCATAGCCCTAAGGAGCACTGTCCCACAGGTCAAAGGGAGGACTGGCACCAAAGAACCACTACAGGCATCTCACCACAGCAAAAAACCCTTACTCGACACAGAAACTCCCCAAATCCAACCTTCCAAAAGAGAAAATACCTTGAGGAGCACTTACAAACCTAAAACCTGCCAGAGGCCAGCACAGGAACTTCAGTGATCAGAGAATGTTAGTTTATAATAGTTCAAGCTACAGTTACTTCAGATTTTGCACCTGGGTTTTAAACTGACAATTATTTTTCCTATTAAGAGGCATTTCTAAGCTTTAGCTCTTGTTCCGTTAGCAAATTCCATTTGTTTTGAGCAAAGCAAACTCACAAGAAAATGCAACAAGTGTAAAAGGCAACTCTTTTCAGCCACCAAATACTTGGACAAGTAAACTGCAAGGACCAAATTTCCATCTCCACTCCCCACTGCTGCACACTGGGCTCCTTCTCCTTTTTTTGAATGTGTTTTTGCTTCCTTTAAACAAAGATCAGATTATTTTTTATAAAACTGGTAACTTCCCTTTCTGGGAAGGGGAGAGACCTCCCAAAACACCTCTCCTCCACTTCCTTGGGTCAGGAAGGACCACAGGGTTCATCTGGAGGGATTCCTGGCAGAGGTAGAAGCAATGCAAAGAGAAGGAGGTTTCCACTGAACTTACCACTCTATCGTGTTACTCTAAGACACCTATAGCTACTAATTCTGGACACATGAAGTTTAAAGGAATAAGGATAAGTCCCCACCCTCCCCCCAGGTCCCTAAGGCAGAATCCAGGCAGGCTGGTTATGGGAGGGCCGGTGTTCCCGGTGCCAGGCCAGCGTCGCGCCTGCTCGGCTCGGACTCGGGGCTGGACCCACGGAACAGAAGAGAACAGGGAATGGCTTGGGGCACGCACACAACTACTGTCAACAACTTCCAGGGATGCATTTCTCATCTACTTCACAAAAGGGCAATACAGAGAAGGAGCTGACTGTCCCGAGCTGGCCACGGCCCCGTGCTGCCACAGGCGGTGACAGCAGCAGCCGGGCACGGCCACCTCGGCCACTCCTGGGACGCTCCCGGGCCAGCTCCTTGGTACTGGTAAATGGCAGGGTTGGGGATCCTTATACCTGACTACATCTTGGCAGAAAAACTCACTGATTTTAAAAACTCGGCAAATTCCAAATCAACTTTGGGTGACAATTAACATTTGAACAGTTGCTTTTAGCAATTCTCAAGTTCTCTCCTCATAAATGAGTCTGATGTCAGAGCTGTGAGGTGGCCAGACATAAAAATATCTAATGATGCTTCTGGATCAGTTTGTTTGCTGCACTATTTAAGGTTTTTGCCTGTTTCACCAAATCCTTTTCACTGTATAAGTAAGTCAGAATGAGGATGATGAGAAAACAGAAAAAATAAGAACAGCAAGAGAAAAAGAACACATGAATTAGCTGAGTAGGTATCAGGAAACATTTTCAAACACAAACTTGTTTTAAAGAAAATCACCCTGTCTACAGAAACCCTAAAATGAGAGCACCCAATGGAGTGCAATGCACTGCTCACTAACCAGGTCCCAGAGGTGCTACTCCCACTGCTCCCCTCAGGCAGCTCTGTCTAGCAGAGCACTGGGACTCTCCCCTGGCCCTTTCTGGATCCATGGGACACTACACTAAAGGACATACCAGTGGATCCTGGCTCAAGTTTCCTGTCTTACCTTTGTTCCAGCTGTTTGATGGTGGCAGCCATCTGATTTGTTTTTTCTTCCAAGCGGCTGTTTAATTCACTCTTCTGTTTCACTCCCATGTCTGAACTCTGGGAAAAGGAGCAGTGGGGGTTGGTGTAAGGAGTTGTAAATCCCAGATAAACCCCCATAAATCATTCGGCACACAAAGCAACAGGGCAAAAGGTAAAGAGGCAGTAAAAAGTGCTGGAAAAGCAAATGCCAGGTCAGTATTGCAAGGACAAATGTCTTGCCATAGAGGTGCAGGCTCCATCTGGACCCTGCAACAGGGCAATGCCACCATCCATAAAGCTTCCTGCATATGGAAAATGCATGATGCAGTGCCTGCCAATACCCAGTATCTTAATATAATGTAGCTGCTTTGAACAAAGCCATTGGCTCAAGGACAGCAGAAGCAACTCTTTCCAGCTGGCAAGTTGATTTTGGGATCTATTCTGAGCATTGGGTTGCTGTTTGGAGTCTGCTTGTCACCCCACATGAGTCACACCAGGGGCCCTGCACACCAGACTCTGCTGGAACACAAGCTCCCACGGCTCTATTCACACCACAAAACCACCCAAAATGCTTTCCCTGTCTCTCACACAAATTTCTGGACCATGATGGATTTTTGTTCAGAAGAAACTGTCTTCACCTTTACCCTCCACCATGTTCCCATGTTCTCACAGAAAGACAGGAGTGCACTGCACAGCCTGTGACCCTTTCACACCCAGTACCTCTCCAACAGGCAGGAGGAATAAATACACAGCAGCTCTCACTTCCATCTGGAATTCCCTGCATTTCCATAGCTCCCTACCTGCAGCTTGAAAGACAGTTCATGCTTTAGAGCCCTGAGATCGTCCAGCTGCTGCCTGAGTGCCACCAGCGCATCCTGCTTTTCACAGACATCCTTCTCCAGCATCTTCATGGCCAGCTCCATCTCCTGGCGCATCCCTATCTGTGCCTCCAGCTCCTTCTCCACATCCTGGAACACAAGGAGCCCTCAGCATCTCCAGGAGCTGCCCTCATGACACAGGGGTATCCACCCTTCCCTTCTGCCTGCGCGGTCCCTACCCACAAGCGTGCTGCTGCCACAGCTTCAGAGTCACACGTCTGACACGTGCCTTAAGGAGAATAACTCCCCAGTTTTCAGTCAGTATTACAGCCAGGTGTGCAGCATGGCTAGCAGAGAGTCAGGGAATTCTGCATGGGCCTGTCTTTAGGATGGAGGGGTCTAAGGAAAGATTTTATTTCCCAAAGCAGAAATTATTTCCTTAATACCTTCAGGCCAGGCATTTTTCTCCCCACGCATGTGTCGAACAAGAGCTCAGCAGGGCCGTGACCCTCCGCAGCCCTGTGGGGAGAGCCCCGAGCCCCCCAATCCTCACCAGGCGCAGCTGAGTCTCCTCCTTGAGCTGCTTCCGTGCCTCAGTCAGTGCCTGCCCGTCAGCACTTCTGTCCTTGGTGGCCTGAGGTAACAGACACAGTTCACTTGGTATTGGGTACTGCCAGCCCTCACTTGACCTCAATTACTGGCTTTTCCCCAACACTCGGAATTCTGCAATAATTCAGGACAAACCAGCACACTCCTATTTCCTGATTTGCCTGTCCCCCCACACAATAAGTCTCCCTCCCTCCCCTGACACCTTGCCCAGTGAGCTGTAAGCTGTGGGAGCTCCCGGCTCCACGCACGCTCCCCGCTCCATCCCTATGGGCAGGCAGGACTACCTGTGGCAGGGCCCATCTGTTCCCTCTGCACAGGGCCCACCTGCCATTCCCCTAATCCCCTGGGGGGTTTGTCTGAGACAGGCAAGGAAATGAACTCTGTTCCAAACCAGGCATTCAGGCTGGGCCTGCCCCAGGGCTCAGCCATCACACACAAACACACAGCCACACACGCACACCAACCTTCCGGCTGGACTCCAGGATGTAGGAGCTTTCCTCCTTAACCCGCTCCATCTCTTCCTGCAGTGTAATGATCCTGTTATTGGCAACTGCAAGCTGGGAACAGAACACAATAGTTAACGCACCAAAAACACACTTGGCTTGTTTTTTTTCTCTCCTGACCCCAGCAGATGAGGAAGATTTGGCTGGAAACAGAGGATGAGCAGCACACAGCATCCTTAGGGATGAGACACCTGGCCCAGAGGAATTCCCAGGGATGACAGCACTGCAGAGCAACAGATTAATGTGTTTGGTCAGAGGCAAAAGGAACTTCAGAAACCCCTTCTGGCTTTGTTACTCACACACAGGAGCAGCTCAGAGACATTCCAAGGCATCAGCCATGCTGTCCTGTGACAAACCCAAACACAACTTCTGGATGGGAGCATGAGTCCTTGGCAGAGCTCAGGCCCAATACACAGGGCTGTGATGTGTGACACAGGCAGGCACTGTCACCATAGCCTGCTCTGCACATGCTGCAACTTCTCTTGGCAGCTTCATTACCAAACCCCAAAACCACTGCAGGCACCACTGCAATTCAACTCCTGGTACCACACCAAAAGGCACTCACTGTGCCAGGTAAGACCTCCTGCCACCCATATGCCAGGGAACTCACCCCTAAACATTTAAATGACATTTATGCCATCAGTAATGAGCTGCAGATCCATGTTAAAACACAGACTGCACCTATGCCTCATGTACCCGCTGTTTCTCATGCTCACCCTGGACACCTCACTTATAATGACATTTTTTTCCTTTACTTTTTGCAAATTTACATAAACATACAGTTGATTTTCCAGCTTGTGCTCAGTAATGACAGCCAGTGAAATTCCTTGGCAGGTCAGCTATTCCAGTTCCATCGTTTAACACTCCTCATTCTGTACACCAGACATCTGAAAGGAATCCCTCCTCCCTGGTTAATCTCTAACTCCCAAAGGCCAAAGCACCTGGTGGTTTTTCATGACACTTACCTCCTCTGTCAGCTTTGTGTTGGATTTCTCCAAGGCATCCACCTTGGCCTGCAGGTTGTTTACTGTAGCACTGTTGAAGAGAAAAAATCCTACAGTAATTCCTTCATTTTTAAAAATGCTGTTTTGTCTTTTGTTCTACAAGATAATAAAGAGCCAAGAAAAAATGTGTTACCTTAGATGTCTGTTGAGCTCTTCAACATAGTTCTTCTGGTCCAAAATAGCAGTTATCTGACCATCTCTGGGAAAAAGAAACAGGGCAGCCTGGAACACCTGAACACACATTCCTAAGAGGGGAGCATGAAGACAACTGTGTGTGCACCTACCCTTCGCTGCCTTTCGTGCTGTTCCCATCTTTCAAATACATGGAGAAATCAATAACTCCGACCTGGAGAAGGAAAATTTGCATTTTGCATTAGACACTTGGTTTCTAAAGCCAACGCACTGTTGCCAGGTGTGGAAATTCAGAGTTACAACATCAGCACCTGCTGTACTTCAGCAAGGGCTCATTACATCAGTAAGCTATGCAAAATTAATGATTTTTTCATTTTAAATGAGCAGAACAAGCCCATTAAGTGAACACCCAGTACCTGGGAGTCCAGGTCCTCTCCCTTCATGCAGAAGTTGGCATCGATGACATTCAGCCCTACGAGGAGGCCAGCAATGATGGCACCTTCCTCCTCCATCATCAGTGCATTGGGCTCGTAAAATTCACTGTGGGATGTAGGGAAGGAGATACACAGCAGTGAGATGAGAAAGATGATCCAGATCTTACAGGAGAGCAGAAGTGAACCTAACTGAGAGAGTCCAGCACTCACCTGAGAAGATCCTTTCTGTTAATCAAGGCTTTCATGTACTCTGAAAGTTTCTTCTGCATCAGAGCCAGGCGAAGCCAAGCTCTTCCTCTGCCCACGGGTGTCCTGCAAAGGCCAGACACAAACCCTTCCAGACACCCTGCAAGGCACAGTCACCAACAGCTCTCATAGCCCCACCCTACCTCAAGTTTCTGCACTTCCAAGACAGAGCTGGCACTGGTGCAGAGAAATACAAGGTATGTAAACACAAATAGGTGCAGACCAATTAGGCTGTCACTGTCTCTTAACTCATGATGTTTTTCTTGCCATATTAAAAAGACTTCCCTGGCTTTATCCCTGCTGGATGCTGCCAGACAGATCAGCTGCTTCAGCTCATCACCTTCTGAGTCACAACCAGTTTTGTCTTAGTGACAGGAACATGCACAGACCAGCACAGCTGCCCAACACCACTCCTTGGGGTGGGTGGAGCTGGATGGGAATGTGGCTAGGCAGCTCAGAAACACCAACTCAGTTCTGTTCTCCTCAGGTGCTTTGCCCCTGAATGCCCTCACAGGATGCCATGGGCTCGAGTGCCAGTCCTTGCTCTCTTTTCTCCCAGCCACAGGGAGCACATGGCTCTAACAGGCTGACCTGGATGTCTGAGCTCACCTGGCACAAGCAGCAGCAGCCCAAGGAAGCCACGGCCAGCACTGCCCACCCCTGACGCACTAACAGGACCTGGCACTTCCCAAGGGTCACTGTGAGCATAAGGTTTAGAAATGCACCCTAAAACTGTTCTTTGCTTCCATTCATTTCCTATTGCAACGCTCTACAACAGGAAGAGGTACCAGGAGCTCTGGCACTTCACTGGTCCTGTCAGCTGCTGCAGGAGTCCTGCACACACCTCCAGGAAAAGCATCTGTCTGTATGAGCATGACTAAATACTAACCCAAAGTAATTTTTCGAATTTATCCAACTATTCTTTCAGCAAAGATGACTCCATCCTTAGTCCTGATCCTCATACAAAAGCTTCCTTACCCATTTTTTTCTATTCCAGGCTAAAAGCTTCTTACAGTTTCTCTTACCATGAAATAGGCAAGCCTGAATGTGATGTCTGAAATTCCTATGAAACTTTTACAAGTAATGTATGCTTGCTGTGGCTTCTTGCTTCCCCTCTTGAATACAAACTACAATCCTCCTGCTTGGTGCCTAAGCTTTCCTCTCACATACACTATACCTGAAGTTATTTACAAGAAGAATTGCTTACATCAGCCTCAAAACTATTTAAACTGTTATAACCTTTCTGTTAATTCCCCTCCTCTTGAGTCTGACTTCATAAATGCTCAATAAAGGCTGTTCCCATGCCTGAGGCACGAGCAGTAAATGCACTGCTGCCCATAAGTTGCCACGCTCCTAACAGAGCGAGAGTATATCCTGTGCTCTCCTGCTGCAGATCCTTGATGGAGTAAGAGAGCAATGATCCATTTTTACCTGCAGAAGGTGGCAGATGCATTCCTGAAGGTTCTGTTTGCCCTTCCTTCTCTTTTTCAGCATCCCTCTCACAATAAACCCTTATTATGTACTTGTGCAATAAAGGAGTGTACTTACTTGAGCCCTGGAAGATCCTTAACACTTGCTGTAATCTCTGCAGCCTCAGGAACAAGTTTTTCTACTAATTCTAGAGGTCCCCAAAATGACTTATTTTGCCCAAGAAAAGTCTTTTTGGCTAAAAACAAAAAGAAATAAAAAATGATCCAGTTAGACCTGTGCTGATAGAACACATTTTCAAACAAGTAAACAAATCAGCCAAATCTTTCCAGAATGGTTCCTCTGGGGCTGCTGCTGGACAGGCACTTGGTATCCTGGAATCTCAGGATGGTTTGGATGGGAAGGACCCACCATTTCCCATCTCCAGCTACAAGGACAGCACCTGAAGGCCAGTCCATACTTGGCCATTTGAGCTGTGACTTTGGATTTCAGAGTCAAGCACATGCTCTGCTTTAAAACCAGCTTCAGCCATGAGCTGCACACAGCCGAAACCCTCTGTTTAGAGAGGGCTGTTGAGAAAGGAGCTCTGGGGTTGCAGTTCCTCTTCCAGCTAGGGGATGCACTGCTAGAGCACACGGAAGCGCAGGAAAGGGAGTCACAATCTTGCCAAAAGCCAGTTGAGTCCCTGATCAATGACTTGCACCTGGGACAACTGAACTGCTGTTTTCAACACGGCAAGCACCTGCCACAGCTCAGCCTCCCCTCCAGCAGGTTCTGTGCCTTGCTCTGGCCTGCCCAGTGCACTTTGGTGACAGCAGTGACCGTGCCAGCCTCTCCTGTGTCCCGTGCAGGCTGCAGAGCCCTGTTGTTCACCCACTCTGCTGCTCCCCAGGGCGGGCTGTGCCCAGGCTGTACCTTTGAGGCCGTGCTTGAGGCAGTGCTCCATGACCACGAAGAACTGCTGCAGGGGGGCGTAGTCCGAGTCCAGCGTGCGGCCCAGGTTCAGCGCGGACTCGATCAGCCCCTTGATGCTCAGCTTGGCCATGTTCATCAGGTTCATGCGCTCGTTGGCCATGAGGTAATTGGGGTCTGCAACAAAGCAGGGAAACTGCTGCTGAGCAACAACAGCTGCCTTTATTACACTCAACACCCCACCTTGCTCTTGCTTTTCCTCAGCTTTGAAGGCATTTTTGGGGCAGTGAGTTTCCCAGGAGGCACTCTGCAGGCCTTTTGTGGAGAAAAATCAACACCAACTAGCAGTTTAGGGCCAAAGCCACAGTGGCATGGCAATAGACAATGTATCATACTGAGGGTGCCTTAATACTTCAAATAACTACAGCAGCTCCCTGCTTTCACAAAAGACACATTTGGAGCCTGGTGTTCATCCTGTGCTTGGCACCTTGACAACGTGTCTCTGACCATCACTTGTTCCAACTCACATCCCCAGCTACAAACCAGTAAGAATCCTCCACCTGTGCTTTGCTCTTCCATCTAAGGATCACACTGGACCCTCTCACACTTAATCCAGTAACGTGTGTCTCTATCCCAACTTGTATCTCTCTTCCTCAAGACTATTTTTTTAAGCTTAGATGTAACGTGAAGCCAATTCCCACTTTCCTCTCTTGCTTTTAACACTGCCACTGGTTTTCACCAGTGAGGAGCTGATCTTCATGGCTCCTGACAGGTCATACTAAACCCCCAAATTCACAGATGTCCCAGGATTATATTCTTCGTCTTCCACGTTATAAACATACAGACCTTTAGGCCTGCTACTCACACCCAAGTTTTGAGCTCCAGTTCTCGGGTACAGGCAGTTTCATCCCTGTAAATCCCCTGCTTATCCAGGGCTGTCGCCAACAGCCAGGGACCCTTGAACCAAGCTGCCACCTCGAGTTAATTAACTACTCCTGGCAGCAGAGACTGACCTGAGGACACCTCAGACTACAGATCTACGCAAGAGGCACCTGTCAGCATCCACCAGCCAGAGAGAGAGCCAAGAGCCCAGCTAACACACCCACACCCGAGTGCACCTCACTGTGGGCTGGGAAAACCCAGCACAGGCAGGGGGAAGAGCCAGGGCAGTGCCAGCATCCAAACCTAAGAGCACAGCTCATTTGTTCAGCCCTCCAAAAGCAGCTTAGGACAGCACCTCTCTCATTCCCCTTCTTCTTCAGAGGGAAGCACCACATTTAAAGAAGTCTCCTTCTCTAAATTGATTTCGATAGTTTAGAGAACTTCCAAGGACTCATTTAGGAGTGCAACACTCAGAGCAGCACTGGACTGCAGAAAGATTGAACTTTGTGAGGTGTTTTCACTGCCTGCCAGGACTATTGCTGCCTGAAGGTGATGGGTCTGGCTGCCCTGGAGGTACCCTGAGCTCGTGAGCTGCTCTGGATTTCCAATCCTTTTTCTGCCCTGCAGTGTAGCTAACAGTCACCATCACTGGGAATGGAGACTCGGGAATGAGTCAGGCACAGGACTGCCAACACAGAGACCTCTTCCTCATCCTCTCTCATCGCATTTCCTCACTGGCCAAGGCTGCTGCTCTGCTGGGTAGCAAGTTATCCACAGTGACTCTGCTTGGGAGGGAAAGCCATCCCTAACACAGAATTAGTGGAACTGTACAAGAGAGCACCAAAGAAAATGCTCCTTTGGCCGTGGTTATTGGCTAAGTTCAATAGAAAAGTATTTTCACCATGTCACACTAATCCAAGGTTTCTGCTTCCCTACTCTGCTCTGAGCAATTGTGCTCTGCACATGCAGTTTATCCAAGATTCCCATCTTGAAAACCAGTTAGTTCATATAGTGTGAAACTGGATAAAATCCCTAAGGTTTGTTCCAAAAATTAAATGCTAAGTAACTGATACTCTTGCTCTATGTACTGCCCCACGCACAGCTTTAAAGAAGGCAGGGTAGGCAGGCAAGACTGACTTGTACATGGTAAAACTGTCAGGCTGCCTTTAAGCTGGGACAAGTGCGATCCCGGTGTGCTCCATCTGAGTTGGTACCTTCTCCAACTTCCTTCTGCCTCTAACTGCAAAACCTTTGCCTGGCCTTTCCTACACAGCCCACATCATAAACCTTAAAGTAAATCCCCAGCCCTTGAGCTTGGCTTTCCACAGGGTTTGGGTTTCAAACAAAGGAATGTCCTCTTAGGACATTTTGTTATTTAAATATTGCAGCTTCTACAGAACAGACATCTTTTCTAACCAGCTGCTTCCATGAAGATGTTTCCAAAAGCATTTGAGAATCCTGTAATTTGTTTAAATGGTACAATCTGAACCCAGGAACCTGAAAGTCAAGAAAGAGTCAATGCAATACAGGATCTCAAAGGGTTAAGCTGTGACTGGTCTTGGTACTTCTCATTTGGTGACAATAAATTTTATCACTCCTCACACTTACTCTAAAAGAAGGAAGAAGCAACTAAAATGAAGCTAAAACTTGGATCAATGGCAGGGAACGATGAGACACTGGAGAAGTGAACAAACCCACAGCAAGCAATGCCAATTCACGGGCATTTCATCACTGTTCTCCATCTTACATCAGGAACAACAACTTAAAGTAAATTTAACACGGCTGCTTCCGTGTGGCAGAGAAACACCTCTCACCTGACAAAATAAATGCAAAACAACTTGTACTATATTTTATGAAAAAACAGAAGTCTCAAGCCCCTCTTTTTTCCTAAAAGCCTACCTTGGAAAATGCCCTTCTCTGGGAAGCAGCACGGGCTGCTGTGCCAGGAGAGGAGGACACTGCCTGTGGCTGAGGAGGCTGTGGGCAGCACCGGGCACAGAACCAGCATAGCAGTTAAAGGCACCATGGTGGAAGATGACAGCAAGGACCAGTGTGCTCAGTGCATGACAACATCAGCCTTTTGTGCTGCAAACACCTGAAACCCTTGCAGGAGCAGCTGTATTTAATCATCAAAGTATCAATCTGATTAACCACTTGCTACATTGGGAATTCAACTATTTCATATTTGCACAGTTTCTTAAAAACCAAGGAAAAAGTGCTATAAATAAGTTTGTCGTTTAGTACTTTACAAGTTTTAAAAAAATTAGCAATGCAAGTTTCAGAATAATTTTTGCCAAGCCTTGGCAAATACTGCCAGAAAATCTGAAGAATCTAGACAGAAATACTGCAGGAAACCTAAAGCTTCAGAGTGATTTCTGAAATAATTTTTTTAATTCAGCTTCCATATGTTGCTGCAACCTTTTAAGCCATGCTTCTGCCAGGCTCAGGAAGTTACTGCCTCTGAAAGCATTTAGGAGAAGGCAAACAGCCCTTGTTGATCTACTTCTTCTACCTCCACTTCAGGTCAAAATAGCAAAAAAACCCGCACACATTTATTTAAGCAACACCAAGGTAATGCAGGAAAGCCACAGCTACTGGCATTGGAAAGAGAAGCTAACTGCATTTTGCACTCAGGCTCAAAATAATAGTGCAGAAGCCAAGGATTAGCACAAACAAGAGCTGTGAGATGTGGGTGTGGAACGCACCTTCGGAATCATCGCGCAATTGCTCCACCACATCTGTCAAATCCTCCCAAGAGTCTTTGCAAACAGCAAAAGGAAAGGAAAAGAAAGAAAAACGTCATGCAAGCCGTGATCTAAAGGAAAGATTCAAAATCAAGGTGTAAGAAAAGCATAACTGAAAGGGAGATTTGCATCATACAAGACTTAATTCATAGTGGCAAGAGATCTGCAAGTCAAAAAGGTTCATTAGTCTGCACAAAGCAATAGAGCAAAGCATTTTTCTCCCAGAGTCAGACCAGGGCAGGCTTCAGAAAAGCTGCAGAAATTTTGTTTCTGCATTAACACAAGCAAAATTTTTGTAAAGCACATCCTAAAAAGAAAAGCAACAAAAGCATTACTTTATTTATAAGATAAAAGCACTAAACTTGTGATACTTATGCAATGTCAGCTTTTCCTTCAATTTCCTCACATCCAGCCGCAAGAGGAGCTGCTGGCAGGGACACAGCCACACGTGGGAAGCAGGCACGTTCAGGGAAAACACACACTGAGGTCATTTTAGAGGTTCAGCAGAGCCTAAACTCTGTTATGACCCTCGCCCCAAATGACAGATCCCTCAGAGGTGACCCACCAGCCGAGCCCTACATGGGTCCCAGGCGATCCCCAAGGACTCGGTCAGGGGAGCACCTCTCTCCTTGGCGGGGCCAGGGAGGTATCCTGGGAGAGGAGCAGGCAGGACAAGGAGAACTGGTTTCAGCACGCCCACCAAGTCCCTGCTCCAAACTCAGCGAGCCGAGCCAGACAAAGGCCCGGACCCTGGACACTGTTGGCTCCCTACTTACGCACCCGCGCTCCCCAGCGCTAACCCGCCATCGGCACAACGTCCAAAGCCCGGCAAAACTCCGGCCCCTTCCCCAGCCAACTGCGCCGACGATCTGAGCAAAGTCCAGAGGCTGCCCGGCCCTCCTCCCTCCTACACAGCGCCCGCCTCCTGCCCCGGGAGCGCAGCAAGAGCCGGGAGCCCCAGCGCCGGAGCTGAGCCCCGTGCGCTGCACGGCGCTGCCCGCCGGGCCCCGCAGCCTCGCACTGCGCCACGGAGACCGAGCCCCAGCGCTGCCCTGGGGATGAGCGCTGCTGCAGGAGCAACAAGCACCGTCCCTGGAGCAAACCCCTGGCGTCTAAAGCCAAAGCCCGGGTGATGCTCTCCCCCACGTGCCACAGTGATGGCTTCTGGTCTCTCACGACAGGTGCTGCAGCTTCCCAAGGGCCAGGAGACTGAATCTCACTGCAGTGCACCAGTCCCTGACGCTTCCAGGGACCCCGGCACTCAGATCCAGATGTTGATCATCCCGGAATCCCTCCCTGCACCCAGTAAGGGAAGCCACACACCACCACTGCAAGGTCTTTTATCTAAAATTGGGAGGTTGGATTTTTTTCTTAACCCAAAGCAGGGAAGAACATACAATCATACAACAGGGAAGTCTTCTACAGGGAAGAACATACAATCAAAACCAGATTTATCAGTACCTGGGTAACAGGCACTGAGACAACTGACAGGCTTAATTTCATCTTTCTCATTTATTTTTAACCCTTAGCAAGTAACCCACGTAAAGCTCCCAGAGAAATATCTAGAGGAGTCACAAATATTTTCTTCTCTTCTATCCCTACAAGCCATAAACCTGTCTTCCTCCTCGCAGGAACTGCATTAATTTAAACTGGTACTATGGCATTTGCATAGGTTTAGAGGTAAAAGCACACACTTAATTAGCACTTTCTTTCTTATTTTCATTCATTCTACATGCATCTAGCTGCACTTTGCATAGAGTTCATCTCTTTCACCTTGTGTATTTTCCCACTTGTCTGGAAATTCCACCAAGCAACAGTGGTGGAGGAAAAACATCTTCCCACAGAACAACAAAGACCTGAAATTCTATAGTTTCCATGGTCTTTTGGGGGTGTGAAAAACTCAATACTTTTGATTATGATGGAAAGTATTTAATTCACTATGTAGGAAGTTTAGATAACAGGATAATCAAGGCTTTTAAGTCTCCATAACACAATTAACTCATTCCAACCAGATTCCCAGGAAGATTAGTATTATGGAACTGAATATCCCATTGGAATGAACACTCAAGCCAGTTCTTCAGGAAGGGACTGGAGAACTTGTCTCTAATACATTAATCACAAAAATCCCATCTGTTATTTGGACAACAGAGGGGTTTGCAGTCACTCTCTTGGCTGACACAGCAGCAGTATCTCACTGAAGGAGAGGCAATACTTTCCCAAGCCAAAGAAAGCTTTTACAAGTAAATCCTGGGAGAATGTAACAGCATCAAAATTATTTCACAATGCTGCTCAACATTTACTTGGTTTTTAAGGGTTGAAGTTATTGGACTAAAATAGAGCTGGGAGTCTAAGCCTTTCTGAACTAATGAACATCATCTCACACACAGCCTCTGGATATCAAGTTCCTCCAAAGACAGATTAAATAAAATTACAGAATCACAAACCACCTTAGGTTGGAAGGGACTCTGACATTCATCCCATTCAACGCCCCCTGCCTCTGTCCCCTGCATGGACAGGGACACCTTCCCCTATTCTAGGTTGCTCTAAGCCCCAACCTGTGCCAGGGCCTTACCACCCTCACAGGGAAGAGTTTGTTCCATCAGGAAAAAAAGGTCACACATTTTTCAATAGGTCAGGACTTCTAAAATTATTTTTAAGTACAGAAATTTTAAACAAACTCACGGGGAGAGACTGAGCCATCAGTAAAATAACCTAAAAAAACCCAAGGCTTCAGTTTTGGGAAATGAAAACTGAACTTGATACAGAAAGTCCTGAGTGATGCTGCCCAGTCAGCCCTGCTGCTGGGAAAGCCTTGGCCCAAATCTGGAGAAATATTCCTCTATTATGAAAGGGGGACCTCTGGTAGTATTACTACACTTGAATTGCATTCTGATATTCTTTACCTTAGGAATATGTTGAATAGCAGATAAAGAGGCCAAGGGAGAAAATTAGGTAGATGCTGTTCATGTTATGGGAGGTACAGAACTAATTCTTTCAGGTTAGGTTCGCCAACATGATGGATCACTAACTGTTAACAAAGAAAAGGGATCTGCAAAGGGTTTCAGCATCATACTCTTAACACCCTGCAAGCCCAAAATCGGGAAAGTCACCGGCTGTCTGCAGCCTGGAATGCCAGGAACCATCTACTCAGGACAAAAAAACGTTTCTTTTAAAACCCCCTGCATAAACATTCCATCTCTAAATAAACACATATACACAGAAAGCCTTGCCTACAGAAGAAAAGAGCAGTCTAAGATCTGCCAGAAATCAGAAGGAAATAAAGGAGTACAGACAATTTGGAAATTCCCAGCCCACTCTCCATTACACCTATGGGACAAACAGCCATGTGCATCACATGAAGTCACAGCTTAATCCCACCCTTACTCCCATTCCCACATGACTGCCATCAAATAATCACCTGATTTCTCTATGTTGCTGCTGTGTGCAGCTGTATGGAATGTTTCTGCACAACCAGCCTGTTTTCAGAGGGAAACACATGACTAACTGCTACGGGAAATTTCTCACCCTATGTTAGTCCTTGACAGTTTACACCAAGAAAATAAAAGCCCAAACCCTTGGGTTTTTTTCCCCATCTTTCACTTCCCAGTTCAGCTGACACCCAAGTGGTTTCCCTGCAGCACTTGTGACTCGCCACCTCTGAGGGATAGAATCCTGCCCCAAGCTCCCCAGCTCTGACTTCAGTTAGACTGACACAGCTTAAAAGAGCAAAGAAAATAACTCTTAAGAGTAATTTCTGCATTGAAGTCTGGATTACATGACCTAACTGCTATTCCCAAGATTTATAACCACAAACACGCTGTAATTCATCTAACTTGCATTTACTGACTTCACATTTCTTCTGTTAAATCACATCTCCAGCTCCTTCAAACTTCTCATCTATTTAGGGGTTTCTATCACCAGATGCGTTTTAAGAGGCTTTTTGCAAATATAGTCATCTCATGTGGGTTTTTGTCCACATCTGAAAGGACCTTGCCACTCCCAGTACAATTCAGATTTATTTTCTAATGGGAAAGGCCCAAGGGACTGAAAAATCCCACCTCTCCCATGACTTTACTGTTCCTATTCCACACTACTGGAGAAACCCTAAACCCAGGTAAACTGTTGCCAGTTGGCACAACAAAAGCATTATCAGTAAGGTTATGCTGCTTCCCTACATCATTTTGAGGTACGAAAAACACTTGGATAGAAAATGGAGAAAAAAGGTAAAATCTGACTGATGATTCAGTAATCAGTGCAACAGATTAATGGGCAGGAGGTTTTAAGAAGAACATTTGCTTTTCCTGAAGATGTCTGTAACTCCTTGTCAGGGCATTCTACACAAGCACATGCCAGAAACTAAAACTTTTAAATTACTGGTCAAAAAAGAAGAAAAAAATCTGACGTTAGCTTCTGCCCTATAGAAAAGATAATTTAATCTTCACATATTGTAAATTCTAATTCCAATTGCTGCTCTTAGTGCAAATAGAGGAGGATTAATAAAGAGAGGAATACTGTAATTCCTCAAAGTTCTCTCAAGTTAGCACATGTATTCCTTCTGGATGCTACTACAAGGTGATCTCATGAGGACAAAAATTTCCACAGCCCTTATTGTGAAGCTTCTCATGATTATTCAAGATAGAAATTTAACATCCAGTTAAACAGCCTAAAAAAAGGCCATTTTGTGGAACTTCTCCCCACAGCTGAGAGCAGTGTTCAATGCCATCCATACACACACTCTGTTCAACATTAAACAGAATTACAGTCCAGGTGGTTTTTACCTCCATCCCTAAAGCTGCCTCCAAGACCGTCACACGCACTGCAAGCAAACAAAGTTAACAACCACCAATGCCACATTTAATTCTGAGGGGCCTGCAGAGGACAGTAAGGTTCTGAGAGTCTTATTAAGAATACAGCCTGTTTAAAAAAATGAGTTCTTTCTCTAATCCAAGCAGCTTTACAGTAAGCAGCAGAATCTGCTTATTTTCATATACACACAGAATTGTTTCAATCAACTGAAAAGGAGTATTAATTGCTTTTATTGTTAAATTGAGTGGCCATGCTACAGGTTATATGGAACATACCCAGTTGCACGCAACTCAGTACCTGCTGCTTGTTTTTAATCTGAAGAAAAGTTTTGCTTAGCTGTTCCCAAGCTCCAGCTCTGTGCAGACTGGAATTGTTGTGACTGAAGGCAGGATGGCTGCTCGAGGGCTGGGGGAACAGCAGATCACAGGGTGAAGAGAGGCCAGGGACAAAAGTCTCCAGAAGCAGCAAGAGCTGAGGGACAGCAAATGGAAGGCTTCAAATCTTAATCCAACAAGCTGTTTGATTTGGTACTTAGTGCAATATATATTTTACATCTCTTGATTTCTAAGGAGAAAACTGTCCCTCTTTCTTATGCCTTTGGAAGAATTCCACAACTTGTTTTTTCCTTCTTCATAATGCCTACCTTTGCACATCAGTTTTGTTTTTGGAGACACTCCCAGGGACACAAGCCCACGCTCCTGTCCCCCTGACCTGTGCACACCCTGCAGACACAGCAGCAGTGCTGATGCAGGAGCACCAGACCAAACACCAGGATACAGCTGTGTCAGCTTTCCTATTGTCAACGCTCTTCCTGACCTTCTCTGTTCAAAATACAGCTTGGAACCAAATACACTCCCAAACAGCCAACCAGCAACCTTCATTTACCAGGAAGGTTGTTACAGTGCTGCTCTTTTGCATTTATTTTTGATACTTGACTGTAATTACACCTTGAAAAACACAGGAGTAAGACCAAGGAAGGTCTCAGTGTAACACACAAGAACATGGGAATTGGAAGACAACTGAATTCCTGCTCACCCAGTACTCACCTCCCTGAAGCCCTGGGATATGCTTCAGAGGGAAAGCTAAATTTCTCCCTTTGAAACTTCTGTCTGGTATCCCACTGCGTGACTAAGTACTTGGCAAGCCAAATCCAAACCCCAGGGCTACTGTCACTGAAAGTAGCTGTCAAATGGAAATGAAATTATCCCTTGGAAATTTATTTTAAAGCTTAAATCCCCACCACAATTTCACCTGCCTTATTCAGCAAGACAATATAAGGCACTGCTGACTTAACTAGGCAGCATCAAATGGACCAAGCCAGACTGCTTGGTGGAGTGGCATTTCAGGAGTTACTGGAAAAGGGTCAGGCATGAGAAGCTGGGGCCTCCTTGCTCTAAAACCAAAAGCTGCATCCAGCAAGGGCACTCAGAACCTCAGCATCTGCAGAAACTCACCACGTCTCCTTTTTCCCCATTTTTTTATTGGCAGAGCACTGCACAGATGTCCTGTCATGCTTTTAGTCCTCAGTGCATTCAATCCTTGTCCTCCTATTAAACTGTTTATCAACCCAAAATCCTTTTTCCAGGGGAAAGCAAGATGCGCTACATCCCCACGTTTCAGGCTTCCAAGCCATTACAAACAGCAGCACGCTCATCAGAGGCGAGCTGGGGCACTGTGATGGCATCGTCACCTGACAATGGGCACCGCTGCGTAATCGCTGGGGCTTTCCAAAAACTCCCCACGACCGGGCACAGGCTGCGGTCCCCGGTACCAGCCGGCTGCTCACTAACACAGCTATCAGCCCCGGGTTAAGGGCAAAATCATGATTAAACGGTCTCACCGAGCACACACCACGGTTTTCTTCCTTCCTGAGATACACAAACCTGATACAGCTAAAAAGAGAATGCATCACCAATCTGCCTTAAAGGGCTGGGTTACAAATTCGGAGGGCAATGTGAAGCAGCAGTCTGGCTCTCTGCTGTGCCCACGGCTGTCCAGGCTCCGCAGGCAGGACACGAGCGCGTGGTCCCGGAGACGCCCCCTCCCAAGCGGTGCAGCGCCGGAACAAAGCCGGCCCGGGGCTCCCGGGGCACAGCCGGACCGTACCTTCGTGGGTAGGCTCGGGGTCGGGTGTCAGCGAGATGTCATCCAGCTCGCGCAAGCACAGCCACTCTCCATCCATGGACACGCGGAATTTGCAAAGATAGATGGTCTCCATGGCAGCCTGAGTGATCTTGTCTGTGGTGGGGGTTGGCATGTCGCTTTGAGGCGTCAGAGCAGACATGATGACTCAGCTGGTACAACAACAACGGGGGCAAAATAAGGACTAAAAACAAAACCTTTCTGAAGAAGAAAATCAGAAATACCTTGCGATTAAAGGACAGATTGCTCAGGATCACAGAGGCTGCTCTGGCCTTTTCATAGATCAAGCAAGGTAAAAACGCTGCTCCTTCCCGCTTAGCTCTGCCTCCCTCCTTTCCACCGACTGCCGTCGTCTCCAGCAATTGCTAGAGGCTATTGATCCTCAGCATCCACAAAAACCTGGCTTCTCCACCAGAGGCAGCAGGGAAAAACAAGTAAAAAATAAAAAGGAAAAAATAAAGAGCCAGCAGAATCAAAAAACAGTGTCTTCCTCTGGTGATGACCCCAGAAAAAAAACAAAGGACGAGCGAAGAGGCAGCGTCCCGGTGGCCGAGCGGCGAGCGCTGCTCCCGTCTCCCGGCGCAGCCCGGCAGCGAGTGCCGCCGGGATTGGCTGTGCGCAGGGAGCAGGGTGGCGACCAAAATGGCTGACTAATGAACAGAGCTGGAAATCCAGGCTCATGTGATCGCCTGCGATTCCCAGGATGCTGCCGAGACGCTGCTGATGCGGGGCCGGCAGTCAGGCGCTCCTGGGCACAGCAGCTCGTGGCCGGGCTCTGCCAGCCCGCTGGGGAGCGAGCGCAGCACCGCCGCACCCCCATCCCTCGCCCCCGGAATACAAAGGAGCAGCGCCAGCAATACAAAGGCACATTTGTATTCCGCTCACATCCCTGCATGCCACTACAGGAATTCAATCGGCATCTTTGTTTTCACGGGAGGTGTGCAAGGTGCAGTTTGGTTTTTATTCGTTGTGCCATCTTCTCGGGGGCACCTTGGAGCTAGAATTTCCCACGTACAAAAAATGTTAGGATGGATTTATTGTCTCAGGGTAATAGGAAGGAAAAAATGATCTGGCTCTAAGCGCTCCAGTGACTGAGGATGAAGCTCTTTTAAGCAGGGCATGTGCACATGGGAGGACAATAAAGGAGAACACCACCAACACCATGACCCAATCTTATACTTCAAAAATCTCCCCTGAAAATTGTGCTGCTCAGGTGAGGCTGACAAAGAAATATTATTACTCAGCAGGAAGAGAAACAGGCTTCCAGGCTCTCAACAATAATATAATTACAGTATTTTATAATAACACCACCACATTCCCTGTCCCTTCCTGACTGGCTGAACCTCACCTGCATCCCCAACCCACAGGGTCCTGGTGCTGGGGGACAGGAGGTCCCAAGTCACCACACAGGCTTCTCGTTCCCAAAGTCGCTAGTGTCACCACCCACTTCAACAACTCTATCAGGCACTAATAAATGAGCTTATCCGACTTCATTCCTGTGTGGCTCCAATGTATTTGGGGAGAGCAGATGTGTAACACCCATCTGAAATGGACAGACAGTCAGCCTTGGAGAAGGCTGGCACCAGAACAATATATTGATAACACATGCCCAATGTACGGGACCTTGATTACTTCTCCCTGCTTTTTGTTCCCCTAACAAATACTCAGAGGGAAGCACATGTTTCTTGGGGATGTGAAATGCCAAAACAGAATGCTGGATACAGAATTCAGCATGCCAATGCAGACAGCTGTCAGGAGAAAATGGCACCATCATGTACATAAAGCTGGGCAAGAGGATTAAGTGCTGCTATTTTTGACTGGCAAGAGGAAGCAGTTACTTTTGGTGAAAACTTCCCGCTCAGTGCAGCGCATTTTGACTCAGCAGCTCTTTCCCCATTAGGCCAAACCCAAGCAAGCACCAGGCAGCCTGTTCTGCCAGCGACGCAAAGGGCAATTATCACACAGAAAACAAGAATTACTATTGTTTCTTCTCCCCAACAGAACAGAGTTCATAAAGCGTGCTGACAGCATCTTAACTCCTATATTTATATACCCTTTCAGCAGGCACAGCCTCTAGCTGCAGCATCCACATCGCACCACCCCAAATTCTCAACACAGTGACAGGGCCATGTACCAACTGCTACACAACAGCTGCTGGCCCTGGCTAACCCTTGGACAGGGTCTAAAACGGCACACACTCAAAACAAACCCTTTAGAATCAACAAAGCACCATAAGCTATTGCTCACGTTATTATCCAACACATCTCACTACAGAGAGTTTAATTTCTTTGTTTTCAAAGCAATTAGAAATACCAAAGCACTGGGTGTAACCCTGCAGCTCCCATTTCACAACACGGGTGTTCAGCTGAACTCAGCACAGGCAAGTGCCCTGCACATCAGGATCACAGGGAAGGTCTGCTAAAAAATCAGGAACCATTCAACTTCCACTGGTTTGCTTTTAACACGCTGAAAGAACAGAAGCCAGTAATTGCCTTCCAGCTGAAGGGAAGTTCTATTTTCAGGCTCCTTTATGCAATGATCCTGCTGCAAGTACTCCACAGAGATATTTAAAGTACTAGGAAAATGTTCCTTAACTTTGACTTATTTCCAAAGACCAAAAAAAACCCCCAAAAAAACCCCAAACAGGAGGCGTTTAACTTATGACTTTTTATCTTTTTATCACCACCTGAAAACCGTAAGACAAGCTTTTCCCTATCCCCATCCTGTGCCCTAAAGTGATTAAAAGCAACAAACCATCTCATGAAGAAGCAAAAGAAAGGTATCAAATGTAATGGTCCCATAAAACCTTTCATAAAACTACCAGGCAACTCAAGGGCACCTGATAAGGCTCCATTAGGGTTCCAGGATGGTCATGGACACAGGAAAACCCCAATCACAGATAAATGCAGAGGAGGTTCTTCAGGATGAACCACTTTCTCCATCTCAAACCAGTCAGGCAGCCTTGACTGGTCCTACAAACCCTCCTGTGAGCTACACTTTGGCACAAGCCTTTAAAGGCTTTGGCTAGATTGCAAAACACAGCAGGGGGCTGCCAAAACATTTTTAAGATTAAATAATCACACACTGACTGCACTGGAATTTTCAGACCAATTACCTGAACACCAAGCACTCCCTCAGCCACCAGTATTTGGGAGGTCAGCTGTACTGCAAAGTACTTGGAGTTTCAAAGCTGAATGAATTAGAATAATCTACACAAAGAAACCCAAACAAATTGCCAAAGCACCCTCAGTACTCCAGGGAGCATCTTTGGGTGCATTTCTATTTTCAGGGCCTGCACAGAAGCAACCCGTGCTTTCATCATTAGGAGAAAGATTTCCCCCTCACTGCATAGAGATTGCAAAGCAAGAAGGACAAAGCCATCTCTGACATGGAAAGTAATCTAAAAAGATAAAATTAGCAACACAACATCTACACAGCAAAGTCTGCTTCTGACTCTTTTGCCAGGACAGATATGCACATTAGCTCAAATACCAGCTACTCCCAACCCTACAAGCTCAAATAGGAATGGGCAAAAGGAGGTTTAACAATCCAAAAACCAGTAACAATTTCTTAATTAAGAAGTGACAAATTTTTCTTTACCTACTGTGAAACATGGAGATATTATTTAGGGATTAAAGTAACTCTCATAATTGAAGAAAAGGGAAGGAAAAGTCGACTTCAAGTATCATGGTATTGAGTAGGCTTTCAGCGAGAACAAGCAAAGGTCTGGGGTTTGGTTTAGGGTTTTTTTAAGGACTGCCTAATCAAGTTGCTTTTATTCTGTTCTAAGATTTTGCTGCAGGTCAGCATGTTTAAGTACATCACCTTGTTCCTTCTGTCTGGAGCTACCTGTAACAAGTAAGCAGGTGCTGCTGCCATGAAGAGCTTTTGCAGTCTCCTTCCATAAGCAGCTCTGGCCTTCACCTGATGTTTGAAATCAGGTGAGAATACAACAGAATAGTTCAAGGATTGAGTTGTAACAGGGAAAAAAAAGACTTGAAACAAACCTCCAAAATATTGTGAAATACTTTTTGGTGTAGTGGCCACTGCCTCCCTGTAACACTTTGCAGCAGAACTGCTCCTGCTGCTCTGTGGGAACAAATGAAAGATGCTCTTAGAAATGTGAGAACTGGGAAAAAAAAAAAAAAAAAAAACAAAAACACAGCAAGAAAAAAAGAAATGGTGGGAAAAAGTGATTTACTGAATTTACTGACAGAGTTTGCCCCAGAAGACAGAGTTCAAGACACCATGCAAATACATGCTGATTCCTGCTCCCTCCAGACACTGCATCAGTCAGCCCCTGAGCAAGCTGTGACACTCAATACTGCGCAGGCAGCTCCACCTCCATGGCTCACAAAAACAAGGGAACTTTTATATGCATCTTGTAAAGGTTTCTCACAAAGCTTACCTGAACAATCACTGCAGAATAAGGCTGACACAAGATAAAGCATTTCTCAACCACTGAGCTTCTCCACCAAGTCCCTGCACACAAATGTGCTCATCTCAATGCTTCAGTTTCCCCAATGTCCAGATAAGAGCTCCTCACAAAGTTTGAACAGCTACAATCAAATATTTTTCTCTAAGTCTTCCATCAGAAGTAGCTCAGCCCTTGCATGCATATCACAGGGTTTACTACGGGTAAAGATCTCCTGATTAGGGAAAAATTACAAGTAAAACTGAAGGTTTTGAAAGGGGCCTGTCATTCCAAATAACAATTTTACATAGAGGGACTTTGGACATAAGTTGGCAGTCACAGACAGTCCTTCATAGAGCTCAGAGCAAAGTCACGGCATTTCACCTCCTCTTGGCATTACAGACATGGACTTCTTACCTCACTGGTTCTAGCTCTGCTGAGTAATGCCTTCAAGCACATCAGCTTCCAAAGGAGAAAAAACTAGATACGCACTCCAAACAAATCAGCTCCTGAGTGAGGGAATGCTCACCTGGGACAGGAGGTGACAAAGCAAAGGCCAAAAGCTCGGTCACACACACTCTGGCGGCAGCCCAGAGGATGAAGCTGCTGGTTATTTTTAGGATGGATGGAAAAGATCTCTTCTGTATGCACCCATGTGTGTATTTCTTATTTGATTTTAAAATACACCCAAGTACTTCAGAGTACTCCAGCTTCCACAAATACACTACAAGAACATCATAAAGAATCTTACAAAGGAGAACGCTATTTGTCACCCAACACGCCCCACACAGCGATGCACTTCAGCCTCTTCAGGTCTCCAGCGCGCAGTGCCCTCGCTACGGATTTATTTTCCGCACCAACACCAGGAGGAAACCCGAGATGGTGTTCCCCAGTCCCTAAACTACACCCCGCGTGTCCAGGACAGCCTGTTGGATTTCCAAGGGCGGCACCGATGCTCCTCAAAGGGCTCTCTGTGGGGCTGGTTTTGCTGAGCTGCTGGGCCAGCACGGCTCACATGCCGCCCCCCCAACCGCCTCCTTCCGAGCCCCCCGCCCTTCCCACCGCCGGGAGCAGCCGCGTCCCCCCCGCAGCCCCGGGGTCAGGGGCAGCTTTGGGGCGGCTGCCCCGAGCCCGGGCGCGCCCGTAGCTGCGAGCGCCGCCCCGCTCGGGGCAGCGGCGCTCCGGGAGGGCAGCGGCGCCCAGGGACCCCCGGCCCGCCGCCCACCCCGCCTCGATGGACGCTCCCGACCCGGGAGCAGCCCCGTGGTACTCACGGGCTCCGTCCGGTCCCGGGTAGCTCAGCACCAGCACGGGCAGCTCGGCCCCGCCGCG